GAGCGGCTGCCAGAGCCAGCGCGCACCGGGAACTGCGGCCACCGCCCGCCGCCGGCCTTCGCGCCCCGGCCACGCCCCTCTGGCCTCAGCCCATTGGAAGAGGCCCATTCAGACCCGCCCCGCACCCGGAGGCCCCACCTACGGCAGGGTAGGATGGCCGGCGGTGCTGATTGGAGAGTGCTCCCGACCCCATCTTCCCGCAGACCTCACTGGACAGCGCCCGTCGCCGGAGCAGGCCCCCATTGGGGAGGCCCCATTGGACACGCCCCCTACGCCTCACAGCGCTCTTCGGAGGCCCCCACTTCCGCCTCTGCTCCTTCGGCCCGCCGCTGCCGCGGGGCGGTGCCCGGAGGAGGCGGGCCCTGACCGGCCGGCGGACCTACAACCCTGGACACCTGCTGGCGGGTGCCGTTGACCGGGCTCAGTCCTTCCTTTTCGTGCCAGCACTCAGCCCGCCTATTACCCCTCTCCAGAAAGCTAGGTGGAGGAAGGGCCATCCTAGGACCAGAAGGCTGTCCCGCTCCCGTAGGCAGTGCACCGGCTGCACACACAGGCCTGCCGCCTCCTGGTGTTGGTCCCTCTCGGTCGAGGGACTGCCCACCTGCGGTCCGCGGTCCTCAGTCCCCTAACGGACTTACGGAGATGCCAAATGCGGGAGCCGTACCCAGCGCTGAGAAATTTCTCAGGAGTCCCTAGCCTTTGCCCAACCCCCAGAATCCACTCTTGCTCAGACAAGTGAGCTCTGCCCACACTTTGTCATCCAGGGCCCACCAAACACGGACCGCAGTGCAGAAGCTGTGAGTAGGTACAGAGGAAGGGCCACAAGCAGGGCCACAGCTCTCCAATGCAGACAGAGCCACAAAAGCCAGGGCGTGTATTGCACCCTGTTTTGCCTTTCCATGTTACTCCTTCTTCATCTGTTGAATCGCCCCCATCCCAAGGCCGGCAGGAGTGCCACTGACCCTGAGGGCACAGCTGCTCTGCTCGCTTGCCATAAGGAAGCTTACTTCCCGTGGAGGGCTGCACAGTGCCCACCACATTCTTTCAGGTTTGTTGGACACAAGGAGAGAAGGGAAATTCTTCGAGCACAGTTGTTACCTGCCCTACAGTCAGCAACTGTTCAGCAATGACACTACAGCCTCTCATGCCCCTCCCCTTTCAGGGACTAGGCTCCACGAGCCCATGGGGCTCTGCAGAGCCCAGGGGCTGGTCTCAACCTGGCATGCGCTTCTCAGTTGGTGGCTCCCACAGCAGCCTACAGCTACCACTACTTTAACAGCCCTGTCTGTTAAGCTGGAGAAGAGAAACTGGGTTTCAACCTTTCAAGTGTTCCTTCAGGACTCTCCTCAAATCACCTTTCCAGAGGGAGCTAAGTCCTTCTAATGCTCCTCACGCTATGCCGACAGGATTACCTAATTCTGAGCCACCACAATAAAATGAGGGAACGACGAAACACACAACCTAAAAATATTAGAAGGAAACCCACTCCCAATGGTCAGCTTGTATCTGGTTTTGACACATTATGCCAATCCTGGGTAGGAGACATTCTCTTAGCAGGGGGACAAACCAGACTAGTCTCCAGCTCAGGCATCTCGGTGGTCTCCATGCCACGCGGCAACCATCCCAGGAAAAGGGTCACAAAGCTGCTTCGCTAGAATTAGGGTCCACAAGCTTGTTCTGTAAAGGGCCAGACAGCAAATATTTTAGCCCAGTGGTTCTTACCTGGGACGGTCTTCCTCCAGGAGACCTGGCAACATCTGGAGATTTTGGGCTGTCATAAGTGAGGGGTACTACTGGCATCTAGTGAGTGGAGGCCAGGGATGCCACTAAACCTTCCACAGTGCTCAGGACAGCACCCCTCCTCCCCCTCCCCCAACAAAGAACGATCCAACCTAAAAGGCAGGCAGCGCCGAGACTAAGAGGCCCTGTGCACCAGGCCCCAGGTGGCTGTCAGATGACCTTGTGCACCAGGCCCCGAGTCACTGTTAAACAGCGCTGAGACTGAGGCCCTGTGCACCGCAGCCCCTGGGTCGCTGTCAGATTCTTCTTTGCTTTTACAAACCTTGGAAAATGTAAACATCTTCGTTAGCTGATGGGCAGTACAAAAACAGGCACTTGGCCACAGTTTGCTGACCCCTGCTCTGCAGATCAGCAAGGCCCACAAAGACCACACTGCTAAGAACCAAGATTCCAATATCACACAAACTACTTGGCAGGTTGTCAACACAGGCCTCCCCCGTGTTGTCATCACCCTGGCTCCGCAGGCAGGAAGCCGGGATTCTCTGGGGGAACTGACCCCCATCTGCCCATGAAACTCTAGCCAAGTTCCAGCCCTCCTTACAACCTCAGCTCTGTAACCAGCGCCACCACACAGCAGGGGGCATCTCAGCATTCATTGTGTTTCACCCTCAAGAGGTCAGGCAAACACTACGCATTTCAGCAAAACATTCTCTTATTTTATTTTTATCTCAGCAAATGTTCTCATTTGGCACCTGCCTGGCATCAGACCAAAGACCTCAGGCTGACTAACGTGGGCTGAAGTCATTTGCAAACTTCTCATTTGTAGGTCTCAAGTCCTGTGAGCATCAGAGCACCTGTTCCTCTCTGGTCCCTTAAGGAGGCCTACATCTGTCTCAGGTGCACTAACAGCGCCGGCCACAAGGTGGTGGAAAGTCGCGATACTGCAAACTGCTGGGACAGGAAGCCGAGCAGCACCATGAAAACAAGTTCTTTTCTCCAGCGACAGTTCTCCAGATAGGGTCCCAGTCATGCTTATTCAACATATTCCTGTCTGCCTGGGTTGGAATGAAGAAAGGGCCCTCCTCCCCAGTAGCACAGAGGAGAAGACACAAGCTGGTTTACAACTTTTTAGAGCTCAAGCATCTAAGGAAGTCTTGTCTGAAGGGATAGGGTTAGTTAGCTCTCAGGTCAGTGCTGCTGGCCAGAGGACCCCCCGGGGCCAGCTTTGCAGCCTTTGCATGGGGGTATTTTCCCAGGATCCATGAAAATACTCAAGAGTCCATCAGGACATTTTACTTGTATGCAGTTTCCAACTGTCAGATGAGTTCAGGACTGTCTGGCCTGGGGCCCTTCTTAGGATCTCAATTCAGGATTAGCTATTCAAAGCATGAAATAAGAGAGAATACATTTTAAAGATCAAGGCTGCTCTTTTTAGCCCTGCTGAGGAAACAATTTGAGATATGATTTGTATAGAGAAAACTGGGCACTCAGCAGGACACAAGCTGGCTTTCAGACCCAGACTTCTCTGATGCGGCAGAAGTGGGTCCTCAGGTTGGGGTCCAGCATGTCCTCTGCGAGGCTAGTTGACCCGGCAGGCGCGGATCATGAGCAGCTGTAGGAGAATGAAAACCGGAGAAGTGATCAGGCCGAACCAGAGCTCCCGAGTCTGCTCCACCAGCTTCTGGCACAACAACATCTCGAAGACAAACTTGAGGCTAAGAACCGTGAGGACCCAGAAAAGGCGGAGCACGGCCAGACGCTTCTCTCCGTCCTGGAAGAGGCGCACGGAGACGATAGTAGTGAAGTAGGTACTGAGCCCGTCAGCAGCGAAGAAGGGCACGAACACGTTCCACCAGGAGAGGCCGGGAGCCAGGCCGTCCACACGCAGGGCCAGCAGCACGGAGAACACCAACAGGGCCAGCAGGTGCACAAAGATCTCGAAGGTAGCGAAGCCCAGCCACTGCACCAGCTCCCGGAGCGAGAAAAGCATCGCGCCGGTTGAGCGCGGGCCAGGGCCCGGCCGAGCGTCCCACCCGCCGGGCTGCGCCTCCACTCCCCACTGGCCTTACTGGCACCTGCTGCCGTCGCCGCCGCGGCGTGCGAGAGGAAGTGAGCGACCTCGCTTGC